TTTAATTCCATGACTATCAACAATTTCATTAAGTTGAATCAATAGTTGCAAAATGTCAAATGTCGAAAAAATCACATTTACCTGGTGACATTGACAGGTGTCTGCACTTTTTATTGTCTTTGGACTACCAATAATTTGTTTTACTCGCTTTAAGGTGAATCAATAAATTAAAGTTGTCAAATTTAAAAAAAATGACATTTACCTGGTATCTATATATCTTTAAAAACTCATGTATTTTCAACCTCATAAATGCAACGAAATATCCAAATTGACAGTGACAGGTGTCACTTCGGAACAAAATCGAGTTGCGTGTGCGTTTGTTTTATTACATCGTCTTTAATTCTCGTTTTTTTTTCTCTTGTCTCTCCAACAAAATTTTCTTTCTTGAATGGATCTTCGTAAATATTTATGCTCGGATAGATTCTGGTAAAGGTTTGAAAGTAAAAAAAAGTTAATTGAAGTGAAAAATTTTCGGCGTTTTCTTACTAAATTGTAATAAACTATAATGTTATTGTTTGCCAAAAATCCTTTCAGTCCGACAAAATTAAAATAGACCAACAAAAACCGAGTGGTGGCAACAGCATGCGAAACATTCTAGCTATATATTATTTATATTACACATCTTCTCCTCCTTTCTATTTTATGTTATTTTTCTTTCTCTATATATATTTTTTGTCTCTTCTCTTTTCATCCTTGGATTGTTTCGATCTCCGACACTTTTTTTCCTCCGTCAGTATTTAATAATTAACAAGCTTGGACGGATTATATTTTTCTTTCACACGCCTACACGTGCACACTTAAACCACACTAAACTAATTTCAAATAAAGGTAACAACACACTATATACACTTTTATGATTGATTCAATTTAATAAAAAAAAATCATTTTTTTTAGGTTATAAAATAATATTTTGTTTATTTCATAACCTCTAAACTGTGTACAATATGCGTCAATACAATTAAAAAAATAATTGCTAGTAATTAATACTTCATTAATTTAGATGGCGCTACAATCAATTTCCATGATTTATCTTAAAATTTTCAATATTCGTAATAATTTTTCTTTAAATTTAAAATAAAGACACAAAAATACTAATTTAAACTTAAAAAAATATGTAAATTATTGTGTTTACTTGTAAGTTTTGTTATGTAAATGGTATTTAAATTGATGTATCAATATTTGTGATTAGTCTGTATAAAAATATTTGAAAATGAACTAAAATTACTGTAGAATTTAGATAAACCAAGAAACCCATTATTACAAATGATTCACGCTGTTTTCGAAGATGATAAATTGAAAATCCGGAAATTTTCAAATTACTGGAACCAATTTTTTGCACTCCTAGGATAATGAAAGGACAATAGACAAACATTCCGATGACGCAACGAGACCGAAAAACCGGGCAGCAGCAGCTGCGGCAAATCAAAGATGAAAAACAGCAATTACAAAAACCGATTTTTGTATCAGATTTCGGGCAATAAAGGAGTGATCGTAAATTTGTATCATTCGGACAAGTTTCTCCAAACATCTGCATCGGCGATTGCCAACGAAAACGAACGGATTCCGCATATTTCTGCAAAACAATAATCTAGGTGCAGCAACATAAAAATTTATACACACACACACGCAAAAGAAAGATGATGAAAGGATGGAAATAAAATAAAAACGTTAGAATAAGGATTTACGACATTCTCGTTTAATGACAAAGCTTTGGTCCACTTAACTCGAACACTTGCAGTTAATTACGTAAAAAAAAATGCGTAAAAAATACAGAAACAACAGCTGTTTCCGTCTGTTCGTAATCTTTACGATGTTTCATTTTAGCTCATCTTTACGGTGACCCGACAACAGCGCCTATGACAAAAGCGCGCAGAACAAAAGCGCGAAGCAACAAACACGTTGGACAAAATCGCACAGTAAAACAACCATGTCAAATTTGACATGAGTATTTCCATATATGAGTATTTCCATATTCACTCTAGTGCCTTAGATCAGTGCTTCCCAGCCTTTTTACTAAGAGCCCTAGATTACTAACAGTTGGATAGGATTTTTAATTTAAAAATCCATAGGAATTCACTTGCATTTGACGTGGTTGTTTTACTGTCTTTGTTTATTGCGCGCTTTTGTCGTGCGCGCTTTTTTGTCTGCGATTTTTTTTACTGCACCCATATTTACGTATCTTTATCTCTTTTTCAGTTTCAGACGTTTACAATTACAAAATTCTATAATTTTTGTATTCAATGTTAATATTTTTTTTACTTTTTTCTAAATAAAAAAAAGTTATAATAATACTAAGGTTATCGACCCAAGTCGTTTCCACCCACGCCGCATCGATTAATCATCATTTGCACAGTAAACCTCCTTTTTTTCTTCTTCATTCTTACATAAGCACAGCGAAAGTAAACGTTTTCCCGCTCAATTACAAACAACACATCCTAGATTCAATCAATCTTACATAACGCAAACTTTGCTTCGAAAATTACATAATCATTCAAAATTTTATTACAACATTGACGAATTGCATCTAATGTTTGAGTATATTTATCCATTTAGTATCGTGTTTTATTTATTTACTTATTTATTTTAATACTTTTTGCAGAGGCGAAATCAAAACACAATTATTCAAAATGCGAATTATTTTTAAAGTTGTCGAGATTTTATTTTCGCTTTCTGGTTGAATCACAGCAGCATAACGGACGCAAAAATAACGAAATAACGCAGATGGTAAGAAAAGTGTCAATGTTTATAAATGGTTTTTCGAGTAATTACGTTTTCTTTTCTTCGCTGTACTTTTAACATTTACATATTTTTTTTGTCTTCTAAACTTAAAATTATACTTTAAAGTAATTTATGAATGAGATGTGAGATACATGTCGCTTCATTAATTACAATTATGTAATTTGGCGGTTTTGAGTCATTAAGTTGATGTTCGAAATGATTCATGTCGTGTACAAAAAAAAAGTTTTTAAATAGATGAGTTAAATTTATATCTTTTGTTTCAAAATTTTGAATTGATGATTTTTTTTTAGATTTTCTTTGCAGCTTTATAAAACGACTTTAAATTATAAAAAAAATACTATATAATATGCAAAATATTATTTTTATAAGACTTTTTATTACTGAAATTTGCATTTTGTAAGAAATAATAGTTTTAATATTCAATTCTCAATAAAAAAAAGATTATTTTATTGTTCATGAAGAATGAAACAAAAATAAAATAATAAGAAAGAATGAACAAAAAATGTTGATGAACTTTTTCATATTTGTGAATACCCGGCGAATCCACTTCATTTTACAAATTCTATATGACCATAAAAAAGTATATAAAAGACAGGTCTCAATTTTAGGTTAAGTTTTTTTTAGGTTAGAAATTGATTATTACTTAAGTTTAAAATTAAAATAAAACTTGCATTTTCAGATATATTTTTTCCATTTATTTCATTAAAGATTTATTTCATACACAAATTATAACCTATAAATTAAAAAAATCTAGATTTGTAGATGAATTCTAATATAAAAATTTAAAAAATAAAAGAAAACTTTAATAACTTAACCTACAAAATTAGATTGAAGAAATTCTCAAATATTAATCAATAATTTACACAAAAAAATAAGAATTGTTGTAAAAATTAAACGAGTCCAGAAATAAAAGGCAAACTGTAATTTTTGTTTTTGTTTAAAAAATAAATTTGATGTCAAATAAAACAAATTTAACCTTAAAATATACAAATTTATCAAAATTTAAAATAAAACGTCAAAAATAAATTTTGTTAACACTTTATTTGATAAATATTAATTAAAACGTACAATTTATGAAATATGAATAAAAATAAACGAAATAACATAACATTTTTTTTATATAAAAACAAAGCTTCGATTTAATATAAAACTTGCCTATTACTACATTAATAAAATGATCAAATAACCACAAAATCACGAAGTTGAGAAATGTTAACAACAAAGTATTGATTCGTTTACCACATTAATAAAAATCATTATATAACCTCAAAATCACACAGTAAATGAATGTAAAAATAAAAGTTAATTGTTATTTTTTTTATTGATGTCATTAATGTCAAATTATTGGAATTGTATGTAACTTCAAAGTGATTAAGTAATGATTATAAATATAGAAAATAAAACTGAATTAGAATAGAACAGAAATAAAGCCAACTTGTAAGTTAAATGAAAATAAAAATAAATAAAGTTATTTTCATAATAAGTATTTAACCTCAAAATCGCAAAGTGAAGAAAAAAAATTCAATAAATATAAAAAAAATAATTGTTTTCATTGTTTATGACAAAACTATTTTTTTAAATAATTTTGCTAAGAATTTAATGAAATCTTTAAATAACCTAAAAGTTAAGTAATTAATATAAATATAAAAGAAAAAAACACTAAATTAGAAGAGAAGAAGAGAATATTTGAAAAATATGCTTAACTATAGTTAAGTTCACAATTGATATCTTTATAAAATTAGGTTTTCTTTTTATTGAATGTGCAAACTTTTAAATTACTTTAACGTTTTTTCTTGCTCAAATCAAACAAACACGAATTTTATATTGTAAACTTCGACGATGCCATTAACTGAATCTTCATCAACAATCATTTAATGATACTAAACAAAACAAATAAGTAACAAAACAAAACAACAACAAATAATAAACTAAAGCATAAATAAATAAAAAGTCTTATTATTATTCTCTTCATTTACCTCTACGTTTTACGAGCTCGCAAAGTTCATAAAGTCGTCCGTTTCCTTCACCGCCGAGCTTGTACATGTGTGTCCGTGTATGTATAATACATATACTTGGAGGTATGAAAGTGTGCGGGATTCGTGCGTGTGTCGGGAAAAATAACGGCGCAATCCCGAATCGAGGGATTTGCCCTGAGAGTTTCGTCCCCGGATTTTGGCACGACGCCCGTCACCTACAGGTATCTACCGAGATTATAAAAGCCAAAAGCGCACTCGATCCACTGCCCGTTCCGATCTGCAGCTTAGTCCAGCCGTTCGCAACGCAAAAACCAGCACATGGGGCCTAAGCCTCGTGTAAACTGTTTTTAATTTTTGTAACCGAGAAGAATTAACTTAATTTTTGTGCTGTTAGTGACTGACGACGACGATATAAGCAACAGAGGAGGAACATTTGGGACCACCAAATCTAACGAGAACATTCGCAAAGAAACCTTTGTGATACCTAAAAGGGGTAAGTCTTATAGTTTACAAACTTTATAAAAACCAAAAAAAAAAAACTTTTAGTAAAACAATCGTGAATTTGTTAAATTACGTAACGAGCGCGGATTCTCAACAACCTTGCGAGTTTAATTTTTTTTTTTTGCAACAAAAAATTTTCTTTCGTTCATCATCATCTTCTTCGTCGTCCTGGGCTTAGAAAATATCACCCTCTGCCAAAATAATCAAACGGGATAGAGATCTGGTCTAAAAACATCCGCTGAGTGGGCTGGCAATGAGCCCGGACCCGGGACCCGAACGGGTCCCTAAAAATAAATCCGCGATGACGCACTTTTCGATATTCCTACGTCTTCCCTCTTCTCTATTTATTTATATATATGTATATACACGTACACATATATTTGCTCAAACTTCTCTCTACCTCACCTCAACTATCACATCTTTGTCCTCGCATCCCACACACTCATTCTCATGTAAAACTCTTCAAAACTTTGAAAAAAAGAACCATTCAAAAATCTAATACCAAAATCGACAGTCAGATGGCGCTGCAACATTTAAATCCACGTCTTTAGTTATTTATTTATATTTACATCTTTTGCCATCTTAATCCATCCATCTTACACACTGATATACTTAAGTAAAACTTTGCAAAACTTAAAAAACTGCAAAATTGACCGTTAGATGGCGTTATGAAAATATTGGTCTTTATTCAAGTAAATTTACTCAAAATTTTCTATCAAGAAAAAAAGTATTTACATCTTCACACGTCAATCTTATATGCTTGTACTAGTGTACCAAAACTTTATTTTCCATCTGTAACCTTTATACATTGTAAAACACTTAAAAAAGAAGTATTCAAAAGTTAATGCTAAAAGTGTCCGTTCTGCACTATAGAAAATTAAGTCTCAATTCATTGATATTTGCTACAAACTACTTTCTTTTCCTATCGTACAAACTTATAGCAAAACAAAAGTATTCTAAACATTCTTTGTATTTTTCATCATTAGACGTTTGTAAAAGACAATGTAAAAAAACTTGTCTCTTTTCTATCATTTATGCATTAATTCTATATACTTATAGCAACTCTTGAAAAACTTTCAAAAAAATCATAATTACATATTTGTAGTAATGTAAAAAAAACTCCACTTTTTCAATCATATATCTTCCATAAACAACTAAGACTCAATTTATTTATATTTTTCTATCATCCATTCTATATACTTATAGTAATAAAAAGAACTTTTTTAAAAATATGAACTATATAAAATGTAGTATGAGAAGTGACCGTGAGATGGCGCTAGAGTTTCGCTATTAAAATTAACCCGGATAACGAAATACCGGGCGGCCCGTGCCAAAAACGAGTTATTGCTCGAAACTAAATATATAAAAAGGTCCGAACCTCGAGAAAATTAAAATATATATATATTGCTGCTGCTGCTGTGATGATTCTTCTATTATGTTGCGAGTTTTCGAGCACCTGTTGCATCCGATGTTAATAGAAACATTCGCAAGAAGGAAACGCATCCTTATTTACTGCAGATAACTCACCGTTAATCCTCTTGTCACGTAGTTAAAGCGTTTCCTTGGAGCAATAAAACTTTCGAATTTATTTACACATTGAACATTTCAATAAATAAAATACTTAATACTTTCATTTAATTGAAGAATATTTATACTCGGTTTTTTTTTTAACTGAAACTTAATTTAATTACATGAGACTTATTTACTTATTTATGATAAGTCTGTACTTTTTTTAGATTTTGTTTAATCATTTGACTATTTGCTGAATAATTACGTGCTGTTTTATCAATTTTAACCTAAAATATTTGACATTTGACAACTAAATAAGGATTTATGTTAATTACTTTTTAACTGTCATAAATATTATAAGCTAAAATTAATCATTTTACCATAGCGAAGCTGTCATTTCTAATTTTTGACAATTCTACTGTCAATCTTGCTGTCAACTGTCATCTTTATGTAATGTACATTAAAGAATTTTAAAGTCAATTTTCAATTTCAAAGTTATCATATGTTCTATAGAAGTTAAACGTCCATTGAATATAAGTTAAATTTAAGTACTCTTAGAATAAACTCAGTAAAACTAAATCATAAGGAAACGAAGCAATGGGAAAGCTGCGGCCAATAAAGTAAGATTCCGAAACCAGTTTGCAAGATGCTCGTAAAGTACGCTGGAAAACAATTGGAGAATACGCGGTAGTTACATAAACGAGTAAAAGATGATTCGCGTTCAATGGATCGTCGACCATAAAGACAAATTTTACAACCAGAATAAAACCGTTATTTTAAAATTGTCGTTTAAGAAAACGCAGTTGCATGATCAAAAAGCGTATCGAAATAAACAACATAAAATCCTTAGTTTCAAATCAAACTCATCGCGAAAAGAAGAAAAAAAAAATTGAAATAGTGAAACGTTTTACTATGAAGTCGTTTCAGGCTCTGCTGAAAATTTCCTGGCAACCCGAACGATTTTCAATGCGTAAATAATATCTTTCCATTTTTTTCTTCTTTTCAAGTTCTATTCCTCTATGTTTTTTTTTTCTATGTAAATAATCGATCCGGAGGCGGCGTCGCCTCATAAAGTCCAAAAGTTTATTGCCGTAAGAAATCACAGGGATTCCACATTCTGATTAATGCACATATTTATTTATTATTTCTTTGGATATTTTCGTATATGAATCACGTTTTTCTATATATTATTTTTCATTTTGGAAAATCTGTATTTTGATTGGCTGATTCACTATGACGTTTCGAATTATTGAAATCCCATTGGTCCATTTTGATTTATTACCTTTATAATAATTGTTTGACTCATCAATCGCATAAACAGATAATTTTTTTTCTTAAGTTTTATATAAAGAAATGAACATTTTATAAAATAAGATGTAATTTTTATATTTAAAATATTCGTTTCATTTACGAACTTTTCATCTTTTTTTCCTTTTATTTTAAAAGTAGTTCTAATTAACAAAATTAGAACTAACATTGTAATATTGTTACTAAGAGTTGTCAATATTTCTTAAAAAATTACCAACTTTGTATTACAAAAAAAAAACAATTTCAAATGTTAACAATAATTGAATTACAATGATTACCATTATTGCAAGACTAATTAACAGTACTAATTAGTAATAATTTCATAATTATTTAGAAAAAAAAAAATACTTTTATTAATGATAATCAAAGATTAATGGATTTACACACGTGTCACATAAGTTGCATAAGTAGTAACAACGTTTCCTTTTTTCTTTGTCAACAAATTAACGAAAAACTTAAATCGTTGCATGTAAATAAAGAATCTGTTTTTTTTGAGCTCATTCCCATTCCAATTTGTGCCTCGGCTCACTTGACTCACTTGGCACGGCGCTCTCAAAAAAGAGAAACAAAAGAAAAACAAACGAATTACACAACAAATGTTATTGTTGTTCGTATTTTCGGACTGGAACGCATTAGCACTTTGCATTACAATGAAACTTACACACCACGTATTAAAAAACAAAAAACATTAATATTTTCAATGTTAAATTTTTATTACACTTTAGTAAATCATGAATGAAATAAATATTATTTTAAAGACATTTCTTTTATTATTCATTAATAATTAGATTGTTTTTAAGTTTTTAAATTTGAATTGAAGTTTTGAATTTTACGCGGTAATTCGGAGTGACCAATGGGAAGGTTCCACATGAAATTCTGGAAGGTGCGATTGGTGAAATCGGGGTTTTTTATTTAAATTAGTGTTTTGTTGGGGATTAATGTTGGTAATTGGTGGTTTGATTGGGTTATCTCGTTGGGGATTAAGTTATTTTGAAGGGTTGAGGAGCGTCGTTGCCTAATGTCTTTAGGTTATTTGAAGGGTTTGGGCGGTGATTGGTCTGTGGAAAGCGCTGCTTTATGTTGGTTTATGGTGGAAAGGGTTTTCGTTTGGATTAGGGTTGATTGTGGATGGATTTGGGTGGTTTGTAGATGGACGGGGATAGGTTCGGAGGAGGTTTGGCAACGTGGATGAGGGCGCTGCGGTAGTAAAGATCTTTTGACAGGTGTCGAGCTTGGTGTGCTCGCGAGTTGCGCGCAAGCAGTAGTGTGTAAAAATAGTAGTCAAGAGTCTGTCAGTCGTAAAATGTCGGTCGTTTGATGAAAAAGTGCACCGAGTCCACAAGAGAGAAGTGTGCTTCCGTCGTCGAAGAAGTTAGTGTCGCTTAATCTTCATAGATAGGTGTCATCGCTTAGTAAAACTATAAGAAGTCCTGAAGACATCCAGAAGAGGTGAGAAGGATGGTTTATAAGTTGGATAAGTTGCATTCAGCCAACTATAATAGTAGTAATAGTAGTAGTACAAAAACCCTTATTTCGGGTAGGCATGCTTCTTCGTGCAGAACTTGTGGAGCGTGTCTCAAGTGTCAACGTCACTTGCAGCGATCGCCTGCTTCGATGATTACGAGGCAACTTTTCCCCCCAGACGATCACCTGACCAAATTTCCACAACCTCAAAATCGAATAATAATAATAATAATAAAAACAGAAGCGTTTTCCCCTCTGTTCGTATTTCCGGCAACTTTCGCCCGTGCACGCAATTTCCGTGCAACAACATAACCTCACTACAAAAGTCGTGACTCCTTAATCTTGATCTTTCTCTCTCTCGAACGCACGTAAATTCCATTCGCTAAAGAAGCTGTCTCCCCTTCAGCTGATTCCATCCACGTATCCGTTACGCGCTGTTGTTGTTTGCCGGCTGCGAAGGGCGAGGAAGGAGCTGTAATAGTAGGAGGAGCGAGAGGCATAGCCTCACCAAGATCCTTTTTTTTTCTCTCTAATTCTCTCCTCCATTCCTGACGTCGTCGACTGTGACGTGTACAGACTCTAGCGGTGTTATTAACTATTATATATGCTTTTTTTTCCTCTATCCAGTTTTCGAAATCGCACATGAATATATGCATTATTGCATTCACAATAATTGCCGGTTTATTTATAGACCGTTTATAATTTGAGCGG